CACAGCGAACGGATCAGTTTAGTGAGAGTGTGTGCTTATGTCCCTTCTCTCAGTCACCGCTTCCCTCCCATTCTATGGAAGTGCAACTTATATTTAAGCCAATAGATTAAAAACAAACAAACAAACCTTGAGCTTATTATATTTCCTAAGCCATTTCACTTGCATTTATTCTGGCTCAGAAGGTCACGTGGCACACAGCTGAATTACTTTCCCACTTCATATGAAAGACTGACACAGAGACTTATGTTGATTAAGGAACCAAACCCAGGAAAATACTTCCCGGAATTCCTGTTATTTAGATGGCAGAAATAGTCCATTTCTACACAATTACATATTTAGATCACCCCCATTTTATACATAGGCTATTTTCATAAGTGGAAATTCATATCAGATATGGATCAGAATGGAAGAGATGATTGATAAAGAGAAAAACCAGAGTAGCAGCAAAGGAACCTCTACCTCTTTTTGAAGCTGAATTTTCTTTTTCCAAAGCCAGGAATTCTCCTTGTAACATGCCTACCTCATTCTTAAACCTTTGCATATCTTGGTGTAACTCTTTTAGATACACTTTGTTCTGTTACCATTTGATGGAGAAGAACTCACATTTCCTAACTCGGGGTCCATGATTTTAGAGTTATTAGCATCGCAGTTATCTGCAGGCAATGGCTTCTGGAGCTGGTCTTGTATTGGTTTGGTTTTCTTGTAAGTATTTGAAACAGCAGACATAGCGTGACTTTTTATCTGAATAATGTGTTTCATCTCACTGGAGCGGGCAAGCCACAAGACAAAAAGGCTTTTTGGACCACTTACCAGAGGCGTGTGTCTGATGTCTGATTTCCAGCGAGTATTTTGGCTCCTTTTTTGTTTTCTTTTCGTATCAAATTCCTGGTCTTCTTTCACCAGAAGTTGAGCTCGGTTCCTTACTTCATTTTCTCTATCAGTAAAGAAACCTTCCTCATTTTTATTACAAACATGTTCAGTGTCCGGTTTATCATTTTCAGTTAACTTATTTTCATTTAAATAAAGTTTTGAAGATGACTGGCAACCACGCTTTGCTGAATCAGACTTGGAATAAGATGGAAAGACACTTTCAAGACTGGGCTCTTCGTGTGGAGGGAGCACCTGGGATCCTACAGAGACAGAGGCTCCAGGGGCATCTTTTCCCTCAGAATCACATGTATTATTTGTCACATTGGAAGGTAGTTTCTTTAAGTCACCATGTAGTTCAGAGTTGTCATGTAGTGACTCTGCCTTATGAAGAACAGTAATTTTGCATTTTTCACGGATTTTACTCACTTTCTGATTTAACTTCTTCGTGATAAATTTTGTATTAATTTTCCAGTCTAATTTGCGTTTTTTGACCCACATGTCCTCATGCTTCTCCACACAGGTATGTTTTGAAGATACATGCACGTTCTTTCTGTCCTGTTCCTTATTCATTCCTGGTCCTCCAGGCATTTTTTGCAGATGCACAGGTGAAAGATTAATCTGCCTGATTTGACCTTCAGATTTCTTTTCTTTCACAGTACATGCCTGTAAAGCACATTTATCCTTAAGTAGTCAAGTACGGATAAAGAAAAATTAGAAAATAATTAAACTTTAACAATCTTCTTAATCTATGTTTGGCTACTCACAAACTAAGAAGTGAAAATTACTTGCCTTAGCCTTGAAATAGGAGAAAAATAGGAACTCAGAAACCTAACATTGTCACTGTTTGTTTGAACTAAACAATTTATACATGTTAAGTCTACCAAGAATTAGAGATTAGGTTTTTAACATTATAAAGGCTTCCTCACTAAAAAATATTTCACCTCACATACCTTAAATAATGAGTCCCTGCAGTGCATGTAAAGATGTTTTAGAAAGGACTCATAACTGGAGAATAGGCAAACTCTAAATTATTAGGTGCCAAAATCAATTAACTTCAATAAGAAAGAGGAACAAATTCCCAAATTTTAATGCAAACTATATACTATGATAGTGATCTATCTCAACATGTATTCTCTGCATCCATCCAGGTGCATTATACTCTAATATTCACTAGTGAGAGTAAATAAAATAATTTTTAATAATATTTGCTGATTTCCTACCCTGAAATGCAATAAATTAGAAAGGTTTTGTTTGTTCCCTTACAGCAAAGGTCCAATCCTGGAAGGTTTGATTCTCTTAATAGGCAGTTGGGTTGACTCTGTGACCCCTATTCTCTCCCTGATTGTAGATTCTGAAACCAATTACATAGAGATCACAAGACAGAAGAAATCTTTTATCTGGACATCAACGGCTTGCAATTTGAAACTGCAAATATTGAACCACTGGGAATGACTGTTCCTTACATGAAACTAACTCAGTGGCCATCACTGCTATATTGTATACAGTTTCCACTACTTAATCACATGATTTAATATTTGATATCACCTTCTTTATCATGTGAGGACGTTATAAAAATGTAAGAAGTAAACAATATTCAGGAAGGTATTTTGCCTCAATTCCAAGGATAAAGTTAAACTATAAATTATTATAGACCCTAACAATACTTTAAGCTTTGTAACTAGATAAAATGCTATTGAAAACTAAATATTAAATAATTATTTATTGACTCTAAAAGTCTAGTTTGAAAGGCAATTTCTTTTGAACTGTGTTATTAAAGCTCAGAAAACAATATTAAACCAGAAATTTAAATTTACATTTTTACATACGTGTGACTGGCTGTTTTCAATTCCATGAAGTCCTTCTTGCTCTTCCTTAAATGTCATTTCTAAGTCTAGGTCTGCTGAAAAATGAATATGCTTAATTAAAATTAACTACTTAGAGCAGCTAGATAAAAGGCATCATCTTGATAAAAATAGTTAAAAAAAACACTTCATCAACTGATGGTTTAAATTAAGCTTAATCTTTAGCTGAACATTTACTTCTTTAAGAAATACTTCTAATTATCTAAAACTTCAACAAAGTATTTGGGAAATACTAGATGTTAGCAGATTAAAGACACACAAACATTCATTCAGCACCCACAGAAGGCACATCAAAGATTCATTCACAAATTCATCCACCAGACATGAACAAAATAAAGAGAAATAGTACAGAATTTAAAAACACAGTAGAAATATACAAAGTCACAATAGACTCTATTCTCTACCCCCTAACTACCTTTTTAAGAACAAACCAAGCTTCAAGAGCAATGCTATTTATGGTTTCCAAAATTACTGTTACTTTTTATGCTTTTATCTTTCCTTAATCTGAAATGTTTCCCTCTATTGTTCTGACAAATTCCTTTTCCTCTTTTAAGACTCAGCCTGCTTTGTGAAGTCCTCATTGATTACAGCTATCTTTCCACAGGGACACAGGGATCTCTTTCCTTGGAGCTACCTTGGTACTTTACAAATTTTTCTAGTGTATCTTCATCAGCTGGGCTGTAAACTATTTCTTTACATGTCTATCCTCTTTACTCCTATGCTGTAGACGACAAACTCTTAAAAGTACCTTTGTAGAAACAGTCTTTATTTATTTTACTCAATAATTACTTATTGAATTCCTGCTTTAGCAGTAGGCACTGGAGTTTAAAGAAGAATGTGGATAATAGGTGTCAGGGATGGCTTTTCTAGACAGAATGCCTGAGCTGAGACTTCAACAGTGAGGTCAGCCAGCTTCCCAGGAACGCGGGGCAGGAAAGGAAGAGAGCACGCAAGGCTGGGTAGGAAGGGAGAGACGCACACAAGAGGGTCAATATTTGTTTGAAATACAGGGCAGGTGAGGAGGGCATCACCAGCAGCTCACAACATCAGAGCAAAGGACAGACAGAGGGCGCTAGAGATGGAGAGCCAGGCAGAAGTCAGAGCACAAAAGCCTTGCCTGTCCCTGTAAGATGCCTGGACATTAATATGCTTTAAAGAGTGTTTCATGGTCATGTGTGCATTTGAGGTAGATCACTCTACGTGCTGCAGAAGGGATGAATTTAAAGAGCATAAAAACAAATGGAGGGAGACAAATTTGAAGGCATTGATAATGCAAAAAAAAAAAAAAAAGATGCAGGCTTGAACTGAGGGAATGTTTCCAGAAATATTTAGGATTTAAGATTATCAGGGCCCAGCACAGAATCTTTATTAGATAAATAAATGCATGACTACTGGGTCCCTGGAGAACTAGACTCTACTTATTACTACATAAAAGGTATCAACGGAGAAGAGACATGATCTGCATGAACTATTTTCAGTTGCTTCTATTTCTGTTGTAGTTTTTCTGTTTCACATCTTCCCGTGATGAGGGAGCTCATGTAGGTGTCTTAAGTCCTGCTTTCTGGATCTCCCAAGCTCACGAAGAAACAAGAGCGAACAAATCACTTCTTTCATTTTTAAAAACTTTGAGTTTATAGCTTGTAGTCACTACTATAGAAGATAATTGAGAATCTTTTGTAAATATGTCATTCTACAGATAAGGAAAGAAAAGAAGATAAAGCTATAGGAGTAGAAAAAACATTGTACGATTTATTACTACAGCTCTGATCATCTCAGTGATTAAGGTACTAAATTAATTGATATATAAAGTAGAACAGATACTAGATGTGGTTAACCAACAGACTGGGTATCCAGAAGAACTAGAATTGATATTTCAAATATTATTTTTAAGTGATAAAGCATTCCTTAAAAGCCTATATCCTTTTCACCCTATCAATCCATCAAAAATAATAAAACAAGCTGATATACTATGTGGACAGTTAAGAAGGAGGTTCTGTGTAGCAAATGCCCAATGACTGCCACTACCGCTGGAAAGCCACTTCTAAAATACAGAAAGTCATAGAATATACTAGAAATATTTTGATATTTATTTGCAGAGGTGCTATTTCAGTTACACTGAATATAGCTGTAACTACTATTTATAAATTCAGAGCTAGATAAAAATGAAGCTAAGAAACCATACTTTGAGAAGGGAATCTTTGGATGGCCACCTAGGTTTTCCAACCAGTCACAAAGCTCTAGACATTCGTCTCCTACCCGCTCTCAGGAGTGTGCTGAATACTAGTCTGAACGAACTTACTTTCTCCTAACCCTCTTTGCGATTTAATATGCTGCTTTGGTCAGAGGATGAATGTACATGTCATGCCAAAAGGCATTGTCTGGTTGTAGGTTGCGTAAAAGGAGTAAACACAAAGGAGATCCTGCCACGAAATGATTTCTGCAAAGTCAGAATATGGCGAAGCCACGCACAGGTGGACTATGGCAAGCTCTCTGTGCTGCTTTATTACCTTCTTTGCTGCTTCTGTTCTCTGGCAGCTGTGATTCGCGCAGGCCACGGAGCGCTGCATTTTCTGACAGAGACACGGCTCCAATATTCATCTGCTCTTTATCTACTAGGGCCGTCTGCCTCAGTTCTGTGGGTGCTGAATGGTTTGTGGTCACTGATTGTGATACCAATGGACATTTATCCACTTTCAAATGCTCAGCTCTTTGACCAGCCGCATTATTGGGTCTCAAACTAGTACAATCCCAGTCTGAAGGATCTGAAAACAAAGTTTCCCCTTATTAGAATGTGAATAACAATACAAACTTGACTAACTTGTACGAATTCTCTTTCCAGAGCAGCAGCCCCACGTCCATCCGCAGCCCCACATCCTCCTCTCCCCCAAACACACTGCTCCTTCCCAGCTGGTTGTACTTTGCATGTCACTGCTGTTCACATAGGGAGCCACTGTCTCTCTTTTTTCTACTTTTAATTCTCTAGCATTACTTATTTGGATTCACGCACACTCTCTATTAAACAGTCTATATTCCATAAGAGCTTTATGAATAAATATGAGTCTTCAATGTATGAATTTTTTCATTAACAAAATGTATGTCTAACCAGCCATTTACTGGACGTTTAAATATGCATGGCAGTATTGTGTCCTAGAGACATGGGTTTAAGAAAACTTACTGAATGGTACTACTTTAATTACAATGAGACAGTCTTTCCTCAATGTACCAATATCTTCAGAATTCTTTCCTTAAGGCTTGGATAAACATCATAAATTTATTTAAGAAAGGATAGCCTTGAGTGACTAATTTTTTCCCTATAAAAATAGGATAAGTCTAGGTACAAACTAGATCCAAAGAGTGCAGGGTGCCACCAGACAGGGAATATGTAACAAAAATGTTTTCCTTTTTTAAAAAGAATTAAGTTGTCAGATTTAAACGTTTTAAGACAAGTTAAAGAAAAAAAGATAAGAAATGTAGAAGTGAACTTTAAAGCCCATTTCATCGCAAGGGCCCCTTTATCATTTCACATCCATGAACCCTGTTTAAAACCGCAGTTCTCAAGTGTCATCTGAGAAGCCCTGAAGCCCCAAGTTCCCTCCATCTAGGGAA